GTTCTTTCCTTATCTTCTTCTACTACTATTATTGCTATTTCCAATATTATTTTATCAATTCCAGTTCTTCAATCATTTCCGCTCTTACAATCATTTCCAGTTTTTCATTATCAAAAAAAAAAAAGATAAATAAATGAATAAACCATTCGAAGAACAGAAGATATAACACATCTTTCATTTGCTTGTAAATTAAGCTTTACTCGTTAAAAACTAAATACCGCCCGAATCGAAAGCTTTGAAGAAAAAAAAAAAAAAAAAAGTGTGAAGAACGAACAAATCATTTTGTTTTAACTAACTCTTTATTTAATAGTTTTTTTTTCTTTTTCCATTTCTATACAGATATCTCTTCTTTTTTTTCTCTCTCTCTCTCTCTTTCTTCAATTTTAGTTATCTAATAATACACCTTTGTTAATTAATAAAATTTTAATAAATTAAATTATTATTCTATTTAAAATATAAATTTTAGCATGGAAAAGTTATCGAACACATTTCATCATATATCATTTATTTATTGAAATTTTTTTTTTTAAAATATCGTGACAATAATTGTCACGATAGTTTGTAAAAACATTACAATATTAATTCTCTTAAGTATATTTTATGACATGTTATTGTTGACATTCAAAAATTTACAAATGATTACATTTAAGTTGATAAATTTAACAAAAAAAAAATTCAAAAAAGGAAAAGAATTTCTCGTAAGTTCTTTTTTTTTTCTATCAAACAAGTAATCATATCATTTATCTTTAACAAATCAAAAAATTTGTTATGAAATTTTGATTTTTCTTCGCTGCAATTGCTTGGTAATTGTAAAAATAATATTAATATATTTTTCAATTTTATTTTTAAAGCTTAAAATTGATAATTTAAGCATTTAATATTTCATATTAACCAATTTTGGAAAATATAAATGATATGATTATTTTAATGATGTGATTATTTAAATGATATAATTATTTTAATGATATGATTATTTTTTGCTTTTTAAATATAATTGCAATACTTTTCTCTTTGGTCGCTTAAAATAGTATATATTTTTCGATTATTTACTTCAGGTTTTTGAATGTATAAAAACAAACAAACAAATGTAATTAGCTTAATTAATCTGCCTTTATACTGGAAAAAATCTTGTACATTATCTCAGCTAACAACTATCCTTAATAATTCCGAAAAAAAAAACTACCAATCCAAAAATCTCAGGTTTGAAAAAGAAGTACCAATCCCAAAATCTCAGGTTTAAAAAAGAAGTACCAATCCCAAAATCTCAGGTTTGAAAGAGGAGTACCAATCCCAAAATCTCAGGTTTAAAAAAGGAGTACCAATCCCAAAATCTCAGATGATATGTCTTTTTATTACTTTTACAACGACAATAATATGAATCAATCTAACGATTTATACCATTACTTCTTCAAAATTTATCTACCATATATTCCATTCAATAAAATTACTTCAATTTGCAATGTTATTTGATAACGATAATTCTGTTGCATTCATATTTGATCTTTGATCATAATTATAAAATGAAATTTTAAAAATTTCTGAATCATTGCTTTAATTTTTTCACTATTTCGGAATAATTTATATTATCATTCAATTACGAAACATTTTTATTTATCAATTTCAATTCAATGTTTATTTTCTAGCCTAAAACTGAGGCATTCTTGTTTACTTCAAATCATAAATATTTTAATCATTATTACGATTTTCCCAAAATATTCCATTCATGTAAAATTCATTTGGTCATTTATAATCTATGATGTGATTAATGATCATCAATCATTACCACGATTTCTTGAATATTTTTTTTCTCTCTTGAAATAATTGGAATTAATTTACTCTAAATCATGATAAAAAGAAAAACGATATTTTACGAAGTGAATATTTTTCCCTATATGAAATTGATATAAATCAATTCATTATCATTATCCTCTATAAATTAATTTAATCATTACAATTTTTTTTATCGAATGTAAAAATTTGATCGCTAATTAACAATAATAATAGTATAATTTAATGAAAAATACAAGAACAAAAAAAAAAAAAAATGGAATTAGCAATTGTTGATGAGAATTTTTTTTTCTCAATTTTTTTTTTTTTGTCCTTCAAACGATTCCTTTATAAAACAATAATCATAGCAAATTTTCCCTCTCTTTTTAAATTTAAAATTTAGTTTGAAAATTGAAATAATACTTGAATGCTATTTGCATAATCATAAGGAAATGGGAGGAGAAAAAAAACAAAAGTGATAGGTAATGAAAGAGAAATTTGACATCTAAATATTGTAAATTTTAATAGGTAAAAAAATTAATTTATTGTTTATTGTCATCATATCGATTGAAATAAAATTATTAATTTGAGTTATTTAAAAAGTTTTTTTTAATGTTTAATTTTTATAAATTATAAACAATCAGCTAATTGTTGGTATTTTTAATTTTTGCATGTTATAATAAATAATTTATGAAATATTTAAAATGTAATAATTTTTTCGTAAATTAGTTCAAAATCTCTCTTAACCATGACCGAATATGGTTCAACAACAACAACAACGACAACAACAACAACAACAACTGCTACTACTACTACTACTACTACTACTACTACTACTACTACTACTACTACAACGACTACAGATGCAAAGCCTCATATTCTTAATATTCATGTCCATTTGGATGAGGATGAAACACCGTTAAAAGCAATCCTAAATGACGGAAAATGTGTGGAAAGTTTAAAAATAAAAAATTGTAATTAATTAAATAATTATTGCTGTAAAGGAAAAATTTTGAAAAAAAAATTCTAATATGTTAAGTTTGAATTTTTAGTTTGTAAACATCAAATTTTTTTTCTTTTTTTTACTTTGTAAACATTTTGTAAGGTATTGTAATTTTATTTTGTAAATATTACAATTTTCATATTTGTTTCCTTTTTTTTATTTTTTAATTAAATGGAAATTGAATTTATGGAATTTGAATTTACAACTAACAAATTTAAATTATTCATTATTTGTTTTTTTTTTGTCAAAAAAAAGAAAAAAATATTTGAAAAATTTAAATTATTTTACACAATTTTTTTCCTTTTTTGTTTTAGCAACAAATTGCTTTCCAATTAATCAACAACATTATTCTGATA